TGAATATCGCGCTCGACTTACTTTTTAACTTACTTGCTACCCCCAGAAAGTTCAACATCTTGATTGAAAGTCCGTAGTTATTGAACTCGCGTTCTTTTGAGACCTTTTTCATCAATGACGTTTCCCTTTCTCACTAGATATTCGAATTTCCAAATCTGAAAAAAAAAAGAAGAAGAAGAAGAACAAGGAGAGAAGGAAGCGTCAGTTACCTTCAGAGACATTGTACACCCTGAGCCAGCACACACGACCCCCTTTGCAGATATTTCTCTCGCTAGTAAAGCGATTACTCGACGTGGTCGGTGCACGCAAATCCCATCGCGATTAAACTACAGGCTGTTTGCCAGGCGATCGGTCAATCAAACCTTTCAACTATTAATCGATGAGTACAGAGAATGAGAACAGCCGACGTGGGAACAGAGGAAGGTAGTCGCGCCCTAATGAATATTGATTCCCGAAGGTGGCAACACTCCACCAGTCAGAAGAAACTAGATCAGAACGGAGGAATTTTACTCCCCGGCGACTGTAATGGGTCAGGCTCATCGACCAGCATCGCGTAAGTAAGATAAATGATCCTCTAATATACCGTATCTCGCAACAGTGGCTGATGAGCCGATATCCCGGAGCCCCCCCCCCCCCTTCTGCCCTCTCCAATTTCGCGCTCTCAAATTAAAATCTCCATCATTTTCCGCGCGTGATCACGCACTGTTGTCGAGACTGGTTCGATTAGATCCGAATTCTTGTAGCCGCAGCACACACTTGCGCAGCGTCCTATTTTGCGAAGAACAAATCGGGTAATCAACTTCTTCCCACGCGACTTTCTTTAACGATTAAACTTATTTGACAGAAAGTTATTCCGCAGAAATCTTGGCGCGAGACTTGCTCAACTTTGAGACATTCAGAAGAATATTTGACAATTGCAAATATATAAAAAAAATATAAAGAAAATCTTTTTTCTTCTCCTCTTTTGTAACGAGAATAATTTATTTCTCCTTCTCTTTTATAATTTCTATAAAAAAAAAAGAATCGCTATATAAATAATTGCACAACGAGATAAAAATTAAAATTTGAGAGCTATACTGTCATCTAAAGAACGATCCTTGGAGAGGATTTGATTTTTTGGTATAACTTTCGCGTGAGCTACTATTATATCTCGACGCCATGCCAACGTAATTTTGGAACTGTCCGCTCTAAATGCTATTATATACATTTTGGAATATATACGTTGAATAAACAAGTCGGATTACCATTGGCTCGCATGTAGGATAATACAACGATAATCGTTTTATGGTACCGTTGTAAAGTCGGTTGAATGTAGTATCTGGGTCGAGCAATAAAGAAATAAGTATAAGCGATAAAAGCTCATACGTACTTCGTCGATCGGAAAATTTTTAGACGACGTAGGTAGATGAAATCTCTTTCTTTTTTCTCTACTTTTTCTTTTTTTTTTTAATACGAGTGTGTGTTTCTCTCGATATATACGAGATGAAAAGCAAATAAAGGGAAATAAGAAATAAGAAGGGCACACTGTTATTCTTGATTTGTGACAATGTCTGCATTCTGTATTTTCGTATCGGTTTCTTTATCATAGCAATTTCCGTAACGTAGTTTTAGTTTATTCAACTAAAAGCATGGCTTCTCGCCGATTCTCAACGCTAACGGAAACTAGCACAATCTATTGAAAAAAATTTTTTCAATTCTTACACGTTGCATTTAATTGCAATTGTATTTAGAAATACGAATTATACAAATAAAACTTTTCAAAAATTATTTTTCTAACAGCGTACTTTGTGCCATGTATAATTAATTTTCAATGGTAAGAATAATTAAATAAGAACGTACAGTAAGCAATTTATTAATATATTTAATAATCTACTAAAATACCGAAGAATGCACGATCGAATGACGCATTATCACATATTCATAAGCACTCACATGAAGACTAAAAATAAAATACAGTCACTTTCTGACTAACGAAACATCTGACATAATACGAAGAAAATTTACGCGTCTCCTAAACCTTAATTCTAGTAACAAATGTCAAAGGATTTCAATCTTAAAATTTTCTTTTTTAATCTGCAATAATTTCTTCAATTCGAAATTTTCCTATCAAGCGATACTTCTCGTCGGACTTCAAATGAAATAAGTAACATTAATCGATCACGATAGACAACGAAATTTCAGAACGAAATATTCTCGACACTGAACACTTCGTGCTACTTTATGCGCATTTCATGCAAATTTCACGTCGAAATGATTACACGAGGTATAAAAGCAAGAACGAAACATGATATCATCACCAATAGCCAAGTGATGTCATGTCGCCATTACGATTAATGCATCATTCCTTTTTTGCACGAAACACCTTCAAGACACTTTGCGTATAATAAACGACAAATGTAATTCTTTAGCTCTCTATGTTAAATTATAGTTAGAAACTCATCATTCCAAACTATCAAGAAATGCAACGAAAAATATATTAAATAGATGTAATACTTTTTATTAATCGAGCGAAAAAAAAAGCATAGAAATTTTTATGAAATTTTGCAAAATCATACGTTGTATCACTGCTAAATTCAGAAAATTTTACCATGTCACTCTTATCGAGAATATTTCCTCTCAATAATCAAATATGCCAATACAAGTGTTGCGATAATTATTATTTCGTTAATCAGATAGATTAAGTATCAATTAAATATATATATATATTCTTTTCAGCATGTCACAATGATAACATTCGACACTTTGAAATTTCATTCGACACTCAAAACTTTCTTCTGTCGATAGATTTCTTCGAATAAAAGTCTAAATCGTCTGTCAATTGCTCCGTTGCTCATCGGCGAATACGCGTTAAATAAATCGGTGAACATCAAAGTGCCATTCATATTTTCACCTTTCCGCTTAATTAGATTTATTTCTGTCCGATCGCTTTAAACTCATTAACAGAACTCGAGGGGTAGAAGCGTAACGTCGGCAATCGAGAGTTTTCTCGTACTTTGTCCAGACGTGAATCGTCTTTTATTGCGCTCCTTCGTTTTCTTCGAGTCTGATTTCTCCCACCTAATAACGCGAGTTCAAAGCTCTTCTATCTGGTACTTAAGAAAAAGGAAGAAAAAAAAAGAAGAAGAAGAAGAAGCAACCTAACAAAAGAAGAATCGATAAATATGTTGATGACCACTAAATAATTCATGTTTCCGGCTACCTCAATATCAACGAAGGATAAAATCAAGAGAAAAAAAATTTTTTTTCTGACTTACCACAATTTTTAATATTCTACACTCCGCGATACTTCAAAAATAACTCCACGGACAGATATTTTCTCCTTTGCTGAGTTTTATCAATTTGAAAAAATTCTCCCAAGTGAAATATTTCTTCGTTCGCTCTAAAATTTCGAATATCCTAACAAATGCTACGCGATAGACACGGTTCCAAAAAAAAAAGAGAGATGGATGTATAATTCCTAATGTTCGTTGAACTCGAGCGAGTTGTTCCGCGCGTCTGCGACACCATAATTTCGAAAGAATTAACCGCGCCGCCACCGGCGGTGCCATTTCGAACCGAACGAGGTCGAGAATTTTTCCTCGATTCGTTTTCCCCCGAGTGAAAAAAAGAAAAAAAAGAGAGAAAATACGAGAAGCCATTCGCGCGTTGTCGACTGATTTCGACAGGAGGGTCCTCGTCAAGCTCGACGCAGCTAATGAGCCTCGTTTTTCCCCGTTTCGGATCCACCGAGAGACGATCGTCAGCGAACCTTCGTCACCACCGGCCCCCCCCTTCGAGTCACAGCCACCGTTTCGGGTCGTTTGTGTCGACAAGGAGCAAATGAAGAACGCGTCGCGTCGCCTCGTCGTTAGATAAAGGATGTATTCGCGGTATAGGTATCGCTATCGAGCGAAAAAGGGCAGGCGAAATAAAAATACGACGTACTCGGGAAAAACTGAAAAACTTTCATCGAGAGATCGCGCATCGTTCGTTACAAACGCGCGAAACGGGGAAACTGGAACTGCATTTCGGATAATATGATTCTCGAATACGATAGAACAGACGGCTGTATGAAGTTTCATTTTCGATATCAATTCTGATGGAAGCCATCATCAGAAGCTAATTGAAGCGCATTGGATTCTGCATGTTATACAGCAGAGTTGAAACTGATGTAGATGCTGTAAGATAATACTGATAAAGATAGGTGAAACGAGAGAGGCAACAGTGTAACATTCTACGAACGTTTATAAACGACAAATGCGAGGAATTTTACACTAACAATGAGTGCGCTCTCAGACACAACTCTTTCCCAATTCTGCTTCAAATTTATCTTTAAGAAAAAAAACTTATTATTCAGAGATAATTGAAAGCTACTTACATACACGTAGAAAATACTTACTACATATTATTGAAAGTTAGAAAATACTTACTATATATAATTGAAAGCTACTTACATACACGTAGAAAATATATTATAGAAAAATTTCATACCATTTGCACGCGAATTTATAATATAAATATCTATACATTATAATATAAATATCTATATCCACGTTTTCTCCTCTTTCGAACGGAACGACAATAATAATTAATGCCGAATGTACTTCTCTCATTAAATTGCTAATGCGAGCCAGTAATTACGTCCAAAGATCAAAAAAACAAACTATTCAGAAAACTGTCCGATGGATATCACATGATAATTCAGTTAAATTAATTCTTAACGCTTCTCAAGCACTCTTTATCGTGCATTCGATAATTCCAACTTGTACACGTGCAGCGCTGGAATTCTTCCTGTCTATCGGCCTTCGTTAAACGAACGATCTACGTATACGATCTACGTATTACGATCGCTGGTAATTGAAATATTATTTTTAACGATGAGTCGAAACTAGAAGGAAGAGTACGCTGAGCTTGTAGCTTGAAGATAAGACGAAAGTCACTTGTGCCCTTGAAACATTTTTATCAACCGTTCTCGGCAACGGGCAGCCGCATTCGACGAGAAATTGAACCGGAAGAAAAACAACGGAGGAAGAACATAAATTGCACGGGGAATTAATTACGCGAACAAGTGGCCGCCAGTCCTAACGATCGACCACGAAAACCACAGATTTCTGGGCTGGTGTGCGGTAATTGCCCGAGTAAAATCGCATAAAATCCACGTGCTGACCAGAACCGGAGTAACGACACGTGGACAATGTGCCTAGCACAGGCTGCAGAGGTGGCCAGCTTGCATCGAGAGGATCAACACCCCGTTGAAAATCAGCCGCGAAAACTCGACGCGAAGGTACCAACGATTCATTGCGTTACGTAATGTAATTTTTAACAAGCGCCTCCGTAATGACACGCGATTAAAAAGGAATTATATTTAATTCAGTCGGAAGCAAACTCTGTCACTAGACCGCGATTCATCCATTCGCAATTTGAAATTTATAGTTGCAAAAGAGCACATGCTCGTCGCAATTGTGCTGCGGATTTTTTGTACTCTCTGTGCTCACAACGATTTCCATTTCTATAGATCTTCTTTCGTATTTATAGCAGACATGACGAGTTAGAAAACGTCAAGTTATTCGGTCGCGTTCGGCGAAAAGTTCGATCGAACTTGAGGTAAAAGATATTTGATAGAAAAGAAGAAAAGAAATCGACGAGGGAAAGAGGAAATAAAAACTGAAACACAGATCGCGGAGATAACGATAGAGATATACTTGCAAAATTACAACGTACGTCGATCATCCGTAACAACTATCACAATCTTGATTCCTGCATCTGAATAGTTTCTCTGTCCTTTTTTCTCCTTTCTCCCTCCTCCCCCCCCCCCAAAAAAAAGAAAAAAGAACGAAATCTGTTACAATTTTCATAGCTTTTCACTCGTGTGCATCGCACTCTATGCTCGTTCAACAAAAATTTGATGCAATCTTTTCATCTCGAAAAACGCAATCCGGGGAAACAAAAACGGGGAGAGCCGTCATGGCTGGAAAAACATGGGATTTTGAATCGGCACTTTAAAGAGGAAAGAGAAACGCGTTGAAAACTATTTTATGCCATTCTCGCAGTATTTTCTTCTTTTTTATCTTTGTTTCTTCCTTTCCGTTTTATATCTCTCTTTTCCTTCTTTTTTCTTTTATACGCCCTTATGTCATTCAAAGATGAATTTTATTGCAAACAGTTCGACTTTTTTCTGAACTCCGTGACAAACTGCTTCGTATCTCAAATTATTCTTCGTTCAGTTGGCCATGTGTACGAAGTGTATCACGTTGTGTACAGAACGTATCACGTTGAATCAGTCGGATCATTCGAAAGGAGAAAATTATTACTGCATGGACATTTCGAATTAAAAGGGAATCGAACGTTCAAATAGAAATTCCACTATCGATTTAAAAGCGAAACGAACAAAAGCTATCCGATATAGATAAATTTCCGATTCTGGTAGCTCAATTGGTAATAAATAAAACCGTATAAAACGAGAAGCGAGAAAATGGTAAATTCTACGTTGTTCGTTCAATTCATCGTTCATCAATTATACCGTAATACCGCGGCAACAATGGATCCCCGGTATATTCCCAAAGGCTAACGAGCCTAATTCGCGCAAATAATCAGACAGACGAGAGACAACTAGCCGGGCGAGAATTAAGCAAAACGGCTGGGGCCGGAGTTCAGGGCATTAAGAGTAAGGCAAGAGCCACGCGGGGGCTAGAAGCAACATTTTCCACCGGATACAATATCACTGGCCGTGTTAGCTGGCTCGCTCCGCTGCAAACACGCCCATACACGGCGAAACGGCGCACGGTTGGAATATGTATAGCGCCACGTGCTAATTATATCGTAACGAGCAACACGCTGCATCCCTCGTAGCAGAGTCGATAATGCCGCGCGCGGCGCGTTTGCCTTTCCCGCGATTAAAGACAGCCAGCAAACCCAACCGGGTGGTTCCAATCTCTGTTATACTTGAACGCCGGCGATAAATCAGCCGATGTCGACCGTACGAACAGTTGCGAATGACGCGAAACGAGAAGTTTCCGCCGGCTCTCGCGTTCATCAAAGATCGCAACTTTCTTTTAAAATCCACACCAGTCGCGAAGTGATTAAACTTTCTGTTTGAATTGACTCGGCGCCCCGCGCTTGGTAACTACTTTTAATTAAAGGAAAAGTAGCAGCCCCCCCCCCCCCACCCACGCTCGTGAAAAGGGCGAACCTTCGTTGTTGCTGATTGATCAAGGATGAACAATAATGAAACGGGAAAATCCCTTTTTTTTTTTTTTTTCTTCGAATTGTTGTTAATAATTACTAGAAACGCGATTAATAATTGCTAAAAGCCGGCTTCTGTTTTCGCATGGATTTTCGCACTCGATTAGTTCCCTGTGGGAGGACGTGGTTTTATTTTAAATTTAGCCAATAGCCGAGAACTGCAAATAATTTTTTATAATCGCTGACAATTATAATGAACGTAAATATGATGTTTGTATGATATGATATAGTACAACAACACAGGAGGAATAATAAAATTTCAAAAGAAGAAGTTCTTGAAGTCAGAGGCAATAAATGGATGATAAATACACCCATTGAATTACTATTCGATTAATTAAATTAACCTTTTTAACTATCCCTAAACCTAACCCAAACCTAACCCAAACCTTAACTTCTATATACTATGCTTGGTGATTGCTTCAAACGAATTCACATACTAGAGAAATATAATCACCAAAATTTCATGCTAAATACCATTTAAACAGGATGATTATTTCCAGTGCTGTATCACTTTATTCGAAGCGATACTTTACTCTCTATTTCGTAAATAAATTGCTGGTAGATAATACGAAAAATGTTTTCAAGTTTTCCAATATTAGTGATAAAAAAATTCTTTTTTCTGAATATGTACATATCGTATTAAACACAGAGAGAAAAAAATTGATCGAACAATTTAACGACGTGATAATTCGATTTGTCCACCCTAACCTAACCAGGTAGTTATTGCGCAGTGGTCGAGTAAAAATTGAATCGTCAACCACGCTTGATTCGTCAATTATTAATCGCGCTGAATATTCTCCAACGACGTTTTTCGCGCGCGTGGGAACACCGAAATTTTATAAAATACGCGCGACAACCAGGTTGATGATACGATGAAAGGGAAAAGGTAATTGCTCGCGCGAAGATAAATCGAAAATGCAGATCGAAAATTCTCGGCGATGGATTGACTGAAAATGCGAACGGCTACGGATTACGTTGGCGCTCGTTGATGAATATATTTCTCCGTAACACGGCATTCTCGTTCGTGAAAATAAAGAAAAGAGTTCACGAAAATTTAAAAAAAAAAAGAAAAAAAAAGTGGAAGTAAACGGAGAGAACGATTTTTACTTTTTTGAACGAAGCATCGCGAAAGTGAACGCGAAAGCATCGCGAGTGAGATTCGATTAAATTTATTTCGTAATTTTCAACGTAGACACACGCACACGCACACGCACACGCGCACACACATACACAGAGACTGGATTACAAATTATACGACGTTTCTTCGAGTACAAACGTAAATTTGTATCTGTATGTCATTACTATGCAACTCGAGGTACACGAAATGTATCAAGTGCACAATTAATGGGGCCGTTTTAATGTCGCTAAAAGCACCAATTTGTTCCCAGAATTAGAATGCATTTACAAAGGAAAACGCATTGCCACCGCTGTTTACCTCGTAACTCTGTTACACAATGTATCTTGATATCGCGTTTCGCTATTCATTTATTGCGCATCATGAGGCGTAATCGTTTTTTGCGATTTCGCCAATTTAAATACACATGTACGTACAAATACGTAACGTATTTGTTGTTGCCCGATTGTTTTTACGACACGCGACACTAGATGTCATCGAAACGTTTATTCTCGATAAAACGTAACATTATTCACGACACACAACGCATCCGCATCCGCCACGCGATATCGTCGCCGTTATTAATCATTATTATTCGAATCTCATTTTCCCGGCGAATTTGCCCACCGTTATTCACGAGCGTTAACGCGAACTTGGCGAAATATTTCCAACACACTTGCAAAGCTACCTGTTATCGTTCCATTATGGAAATTGAATAACTGTTGCGCCGGCAAACCGCGCAATTTTCACCGTACCTGAATTTCTAATATTTTTAATTGCGTTTTAAATATCGCGTCCCGTAATAAGTGCCTGGCTAACTGCATTTCCTCCGTCTAACTGTAAGATTTATTGTCTTTTCTTTTTTTCTTTTTTTTTTTTCAAACGTTGATCGTATTTGATTACAGTTGCAATAATTGGTAACATCTCAGATCTCGATTTACGTAAAATACTTTCAATGATTTTTATTTGACCTGCAACGTAGAACGTAACTTGTAGCAGCGGTACAGGCTGGTTAACGGTCTGAGCAAATTTTTACTCCGGTATCAAAGTTTACTTTGCAAAAGTGAAATAGCATTTGCTAATTGCATTTATTTCTCTCTAGTGTTTCCCGGTGAAGTTTATCCGTATAAAAGAAGAGAAAGAATTCACCTTTACTTGCATTTCCGACCAGATAAATATTAACTTAATAAAAATCAATATCCCTTTCTGAGAAAACAATTTATTCAACAATGAAACGAAAATATTTTGATCGAATGACACTTTAACCAAAGGAAAAGTCACTTGAACTTACGATTTCCGTAAAGTGAAGGTAAAAACTGAAAATTATTGTAACGTGAAAGAAAACCTTTTAATCAGTTATTTTCATTTTTTTTACCGTATCCTAAGTTGCGACCAATGCCTGTAAATTGTCCATTAAATATGCCATAGTAACCCAATTAACAAGTAAAATGTGCTTCGACTATCTGGCACGCGAAGTATGCATTTTTACGCGAAAATCGCGGAAGAAACGACCTTATCAAATAGCCGGCCGCCCACAACTAATGTCATTATCAACGTACACAATAAATGTGCACATAAGTCAGAAACATTATTAATTACCGCGTACCACTGGCAAGATACAACAATTTGGTGTATATACGAAAAGTATATTTCTGAAGTTAAAGAAAAAAAAATATGAAGAAGATCAATCAGTTATTATTAAATAACGAGGTCGTATTATATAATTGCCAGATAAACCCTCGCATGTTTCTAGTTTATTTATAAGTCACGTTATCGTGTTGGTAATTCAAGCAACGCAATTTAAGTAACTACTTCGTAGTTGATGCTTGCAGGTGAGTGCATCTCGTTGAATCTTAACGAATTAAAAGAAAGAAAATCCGTCGAAGGCAATTACACTTTTGACTTGGATCAAACTTGCCGGCTTTTTCATTTTCAATTGTGTTCACGGTGAAATTCTCTTGGATCAATCAAACGGCATTAGAGATAACTCGTTCTAACGCTACGATAATAACTTTAAAACTATTACAATCGATGATTTATTTATTTTCGAACGTGTAACAGCACGAACAAAATTGTCGTTAGGTGAATAATAACTGTAATTATACTGAACGTGCACCTTTCTCGAGCCGGGGAAAAAAAAGAATTCGACGCGACGAGACACGCGACGCGATCTTATCACTTCGTTGCAATTCTGGAAGTTGTACGGCTATCGCGCAAATACATAATACCGTTCGCAAATTCTATTATCACGTTCAATAATGTATATCACGTCATGAAGTTTCTATTTGCAGCGACGACTGTATAATTTATCGAACTTCTCGATACGCAAGAAACTGTTAAATTTCGTAGATAACGGACAGCCGGGGACACATAACGGAGACTTTGCCGCATTGATTTCATTTGTCTTTGTCTCTTATTTACCGCCAGCAATTAATAAAAACCAAGGGAAACCCAAAAACGATCTGTTTTCTTCAGGCAAATTTCCGCTGAATTGAACGAAGGAACGATTTACTTCGCAACGTTTATTTTCCCATTTTCCTCTTGTTTTATCTATCGACGCGATGGAGAATCCCCCGCGCTGATAAGAAGAGAAATTCAAGTGCTCATAGATTATTTTCCTTGAAAATGTATATAATAAAAAAAAAAAAAAAAATACGCGAAGCATTATTCACAGTTACGAATTTTTTCGTTTTGAAGTTTTCAATGGTCAAGCTTTTAATAGACTTTCATAAATTACAATTTCATGAAAAAAATGCTAATTATATAAAATCTACACGATGCGCTCTCATTAGGCGTACTTTATCTTTATACTCTGAACATTATTAACTGTTTGAATTTTCAATTTTAGTCGTTCGTTTCTTTTTTTCTTCTTCTTTCTTTTCTTCTCGCATCGCTCTTTCTTCTAATTGACCGCTCAATTTATGCGAAAAGTAAAACTACCCGGAAAATAAATGTCTAACTACCTGCCTGCAGATTTTATCTAAAGCAGAAGAAATGTGCCGTATCGTCTGCTAAAAATTTTCTTATTGATCGAGAAAAAGGAGACCGTTATTTCTAAGATTTGTGTAATCTCTCGCATTCGCCGATGAAATTAATTATTCCTCGACGAACGAAAAACATTTCCGAGTCACTGTTAGCCGGTGGTTTGACTTCAAAAGAGCGAGGCTTTTAAACGAGAACGTCTGTATCTATCGACTTGCCGCGGATCGAGAAGCACGGTTTCGTGCAACGAGCGAACCTTATCACCAGCTCGCTGCGAATCGCTCGTATATCAGACACGTTGCAGGTACGTGCGAATCTCGCGATATCTTTCGATGCGGATGCGCCGGTTATCAGCGTGAACGCGTGCAGCCACCAAGTGGATCGCTCGTGACACGAGAGTCCTCGTCCGCGTCCTCGTCCTCGTCATCGTCATCGTCATCGTCATCGTCGCGTCAGGTGGTGAGAAAGAAATAAAAAAAAGAAAAAAAGAAGAAGAAAAAAGAATCGTCGCGAGACAAAAGAGCAGCGAAGGGATACGACGCGGCGGTAATGAGATAAAAATAATGCCAGGCAGCCGAAAACGAAGGGGAGACAATAGACTGTCGGGATCCGCGCGTCGAGTCAACCGGTCTTTTGTCGTTTTTGTTTCACGGCGTCCACCAAGCCGTCACAAGGCGAGCCGAAAGGAATTGAGATCGCGGTGAAAAGTGTCACGTACGTGCAACGACCGCGGCGAAGAAGAATCGTTTCTTTAACGACCGATCGTCAAAGTCGACCCGTCGGAAGAAAGAGCAATCGCGGCAGCGCTAACGGCGAGACAGCCGCCCTCCTATTCCACCACCCAGCGGATTCACGATCACAATCGTTCTGTATTGTAAGTCTTTCCCCCCTTTTATTCCGAACCTTTGAATCCTTCGGATCGTACGGTCGAATTAAACGTCCAGAGAAATTACGTTCTCGTTCCTCGGACGGCGAACACGATCTCTCCCGCCGCGCGGTCTCGCGTTGATTTTCGGGAAAACGTGCGATTTGTGAGAGTATTCGGGCACGCGAATGACACGTTCGTGCCTTTTCTTGACGACGTGCGCGGAATTCGAGGATTCAAAAATCGACAGAATTTGTGATTGCGCTGTGACTACGCTCGCAATATTTATGGTATTTGGCGAATGATTTTCGTTTGGGTTAGGTTACGTTCGTTTGGAATGTGAAATCATAGAAACATTCGCGATCCAGCGACGATTTAGTGATCGTTGTTAAATCGTGGATTGTGACGAAATGCGTGGATTATGGATTATGTGTTAGATTGTTTTATCGCTTAGTCCGCAATTTGCTTATTTACTTTATAAGTTACGATGAACGATAAAATGTCGAGAAACAAAAGCATTCTTTCCTCGTTCGAAGCAAAAATGTTTCGTAGGAATTTTTTTTTTTTTTTTTACAGGATTAAACTGAACAAAGTTCACGAAGGCAATGTTTTGGAACAAAATTTTTCAAAAAAATATTACAAATAGTCATAAAGAAGAGTCAAATTTGTATTGTCAAATGTGTATTTTAGAAAACTTGCTCGAAACATTTCGATAATTTTGTATTTTTTTTTTATTAAACATTTGAAATAAATACATAGAAAGAATATTATTGCCTATACAACATTAATGTACATTAAATAATTTGAAAAAGTAAAATCGTACCTTTCGTAACTACATAATAACATAATAACATAATAAATACATAACACATAATTTATTTTACCCGCAATTCGTTCGTCGTTACTATTTAAAATTATGCTTGGATGAATCACTGTGACGATTGTCGTTTGTTTCTTCTCCGTGAAACTGAATCACTTTTCATCCTATAATTTTCTACAAACGAAATAAAATTAAACGTAAAATCTGACCTATTTATCTATTCGATAGAAATTCAGCAGTCCTGCAGCGATCTCGGAATTCGAAACAATAATGTACGAAATCAGTTAGCAATTTCTCTTCGCTCGAAGGAATAAAATTCCGACGGGAAAAACTAAAATGCGTAACATCCCTGGAAATTTTTTCGGAGAGTGACATAGTTTCTTTGACCGTAACGTAATTACAGAAGCGGCACGTTAACTCGCAATGAGTTACACAAGCCAGTATGCGGCGCACAGCGGTGAATGAATTTCACAAATGTCGGATATGAATGAGGTTCTCGTGCATTTCGTGTGAATGACAAGTGCAGAAGGGATTGAGTGGTTGTTTGTGGTTGAAATTCGGTTTCGTGCAAAATGCGCGTCTAAATGAACCCTAGAAATGTGGATGGTGTTTCCGGGACGAGAAGATACGTCGAATAAACACGTTTATGCATCTACATGACAGGTTTCTACATTATAACGTGATAAAAGAACGTATGAAAAATTGAGTCACTGAGAGGCTCGACTCCACAGTTTATTAATTTCTCAATTTTATTATTACACAAGTACGTGTTTTAATATCCGAGTATCGACGATGTATGTGATTTAATAATGATACTGACGTAATGTTAAATTCTTGGATAACTTTGAAAAACAATTTCAGAAATTTCTGGAGTTGATCAATGCGACTTTTAAACAGATCATTTAATCTCGTAAAAACTAAACGTCATTTTATGCAAAAGTTGTGGTAATATTTAAAAATACTATATTACGTCATTCTACGTTTGATTGTCGTTTCTCCTTCGTGGAATAAAACTTGATGAATTAATTCACATATACGATATATGATAGTGAATAAGATATCTCACGTTTCAATTGAAAAAAACATGCAAGATATCTCATCTATAACGTCACATCGCAAGAATAACATTACGTCACGAAATATCTCGTTGATATTCTCGATAAGGTGAGAGTGATTTCACTTTTGAATACTACAGTTGAACTGTTTGTTACACGAATCAATGTAATATCTGTCGAGCGTAAAAAAAATTGATTTAATTCAGCACGATCTCTCCTAAAAGATGTTTAAAATTGAAAAGATCAGATAGATTTCATTAAATTACCAAAAAATCACAACTCTTATGCTATCGTGTTTCTTCTATTCGGATTCTACTAATTTTCGATTCGTCTAATTTTTAAATTTTTCCGATTGTTGAAACGATCCTTGCTACTAGAATCTTCGCATTAATTAATCTCTTTTCAGCTTTCATCACACGATGTTTGCTGAACCGACAACAGACTGAATATTAACGAAGAACTAGCATGTAAATGTGGAACTCGTTTTCCGATATTCTCTCAGTCTGTGATCGTTCTCCATACCGAATGCTGACGTGTCATTTATCTCAATAGTTCCGAACTGTGTTGTGTAAAATTAATAAAAATTCTTTAAAACACCTCTCTCGGATAAACGATCTATCTAACCAGGAAGTTGAATCGTATGCCGCGTATTGCTTTCATCCATCACAATAATCGCACTCGATAAACGAAAGTTGTAGGCTTTTCAGAAATTAGCCTTTCTCAATCCACATGTGTACACCATGTGAGCCATTTCTCAACCTCAATGAAATATTCTGCTCTCTCTCTCTCTTTTCTTTTCTTTTCTTCTACCAACCGAGATGGAAAATGCTCAAGTTACAGAGAGATGATCGATTTTACCATGTTTGCCGAAGCTAGGTTGAATACTAATCAACCTGCCAAGGTGTTCGAACATTCTCTCGTCTATCTCCTCCACTTTTTCTTTCACTATCGAAATCCACTTGAAAAGCAATCGTGATATTTGAACACGATGCTCATTGTACCAAGCGAGGCACTTCAGAAACATCATCGACTTCGTTAAGACGCAAATCCGGTCGTTAAATCCTGCAGTTCCTCTCTTAAAATATTTACGCTATCAACTACATTCCTCACCATCGTCCACAAGTATTTGGACAATCAAGTTCGATTGGCCGAAAAATTTATACTTATAATATTTATGTAATATGTTAATATTTATACTTATAATATTTATGTAATATATTAATATTTATACTTATAATATTTACGTAATATATTAATATTTATACTTATAATATTTATGTAATATATTAATATTTATACTTATAATATTTATAATTTATAACTTTTTGTTACATTTGCAAAATTATAATCACGCTTAGCAAACTGTTACCTAAACGAACGACCTTTTTACATAGATGGATTAGTATTTTTCTCTTTTTATGAAGAGTGACACAATTCCATCCATTTGCAACTATTCGTTCTCATTGTCAGTCTGTGAAAAATTATTTTCTCTTAAAGATAATTTGACGTAAATCGAAATGATAACGATCACAGGTGCTTCACACTATATACTTGTAATAAATGTATATACAAGTGTCTGGATACTTATGGACAGTAAAATACATCTTCATTATCAACGACGGTTACTACGAAGATGAATGATTCTCGTTTCACTACGTTTCGTTCGTAGCATCAATCGTAGTTTCCCATCACAAAACAGATACGAAACTATCGAACATGTGCATAAATAACGAAATGAAGCTCGAATAGTGAAATGTTCTAAGCGCGTTTTAATGTTTTTTCGCTATTTACATGGAATTTTGTCGTAAAAAAAAAAAAAAAA